CCTATCAAGAGTACAGCACATGGAGACCAAGAATTACAACACTGGGAGAAAAGCGAGGGCTTGGACAGATACAGTTATCTCATACAGGTTTAAAGAATGAATACAGAAATGGTTCAACTGGGATGGCCCTTATCTCAGCTGAACAGTGGCAGCCAATGAACGACTGCTCTTTTTCTATCTGATATATTTGAGTCAAGCTGAACTTCACCACTGTGAACTATCAGTACACAGTATGTGCCTCAGTTTATTCTCATGTAAACCTTTGATAAATTCACTGTGTTGTTAGTCCTCTGCAGGCAGTCAGTTTTACCCTGACTAGTGTCTCCTTTTCTATTTCATTGTTAAGCAAAGGAGCTAGAAAAGACACAGGCATTTATGGATCTTATTTCATGGATATAATTTAAAGATTCTGTCAGGAAAACAATTGATATGGTACTGCTCTCTTGCTTCTATGTAAAAAGCAGAAGTGGTGACAAAGAGGTAATGCAATACACTTTTTTTTAGAAAAGATGCGACTGATTCTGTTATAACGATTCCTTAGAGAGGTATTGTTCGTGCTCTACAAAATGACTGATTTTAACTATTTTTCAGGTGTATATTGGTTCCATATGTAACTTCTGTTCACTCTTTATCATTATGCTGACTGCCTTTAACAGCACCAACTTTTATCCCTCATGGAACTATTCTGTTAAGGTATATCTAGGTAAAAAATACACCCAAATAACCAGAGTCTGACTTGTCACAACTGCCATTACTATTTTAACAATATTGTAATGTTTAACCTGTTAGTCCTCTAATACTTTAATAAAGTTTACATAATTAAAATGACCACGAGCCACACTTAAAATGATGTCACAATACATTTACAGTATCCTATATGCTATAAACGTACCTTATACACAAATGTGTCTGGCAACATGTTTAAACACTATACTTATTTTTCTGCTAACAATTTTTGAAGATCATGGTTTTTGAGTGCATATTGCATTTTCTTCAGGCACAGATATAGTTGACCTCAGTTTATATTTTGAAGCCAATATATGTGATAGGACAAGGAAGCATATAAGGAAGTTGAAGTTAAATTAAAAGCAGGTATGAGCATGTATTTTATTAGGGAGAATCAGACAAGTAAGATAGTAAAATCTGACTTCTTGTCACATTGAATTTTCTTTCACTATTCCATTATAGGAAATAGTATTTTTATAATGTAAATTTTATTGAATCATCCCCAGACAAAAGTCTGTGGCATTCTTCTGTATCCCCAAAGAATTACTTACACAATCCCACTGATTCAAACTCAAGCCACTCATTTAATGTTACAACTCTACACAGAATTAAAAACAAGGATCCTTTCAGAGTTTAATGATGGTTTTATGTATTTTAGTCTGTATTTTATCTATTGGTAGTAGCTTAGTGAGATGATCTGATGTTACCCTGTTGAATTTAGTCTGTTTTATCATCTGGGCAGCACCTGAAAGGAGGCTGCATGCAGCAGCATTAGTGGAGCACAGCCATCTTTCGCTGTACAGAAATAACACAATTCAGAACTCAGAGAAGTTGGATCCTTACGTGAATAAAAGAACTCAGGTGTCTCATGTGCACAAGAAAGGCAATATTCAGTGAGTCTTGCTGTGAATTTACAGCACACTAGCTTCTCCATACTAATGCTATGTGGTTACTTTCATCATAGGTAATTTGGTGACTTCCACCAGAGAGCAATTCAGCCCACTTACAATCTGAATCATCTTCTGATAGTGTCTGCCTTTTTCTAGTGACTACACAGGGAGTCCAGGTAAACTAGGTTTATCACTTGAGGTGATTCAGTTAAATGACTAAAATTACAGCTCTTCATAGCTATGTCTATACTTAACCATTTGGTACACATCCTGGGATTTTGGTGCCCTGGCCATTCATATAAAGCATCTGTGGAGAATCACCACTGTTCCTGCCTGGGAGCCATCCGATTTCCATGGAAATTGGGCAGTGGTGATGGGCAGGAGATAAACTCGGCATTCTGCTGGGCTAAACAAAGCAGTAGTATAGTAATTGTGAGTTATCTTAGTTTGGAAGTTTAATTTAAGAAAAATGATTCAGATTTGACTGGGGTTTTCTAATTCTGCAGTCAATTTGCTCTTTCTGCCTGTATTTGTTTTGAGGTATAGTCACTGTGTACATGCAATTAATTATTGCCATAGAGACCTACTATGGTTATCACTTTTGATCTTTATATTATTATGATTTGAAAAATGGAACAATAACAAATGCTACCATATGAAAAGAAGTCATTCCTTCTCCTGAGACAGAGAATGCTTCAGTATGTAAGTACTTCCAAATTAGTTTTTTGTAAGTGATTTAGACTTTAAAGAGTCATAGAGCTAATATGAATAATGAAGCAAAAGAACAATGTCAAATAAAGCCCTTATATCTAAAAAATGGGTTTGCACCAGAGGTTCAATATTACTGTAAAGACGTTGCAGTATTGAAAGATTTATGTTCTGAAATCTGTGAAATACTGCCAGCAGCAATAGCACGATTTTCTAATTTTCCAAGGATGACATAGGATGCTGATTTCTTGTGAAAAAGAGAGACAGGAAACAATCTTATAAACCATCTGCAAAGTATCTGATTAGTCTTTAAAGTACTGAAATGCATTTGTTATCATGTGTTCTGACTATGGATCAATTGGAAATTAAAACCTTTTAAAAATCAAAAGGAAGAAATTTGAATACAGTATGAGAAAATTAATCGGCCTGAATCTTGAAGAAACTCAATATTAACTACTGAACTCCTGCACAGGGAAAAATAAGGAGGAAAATAAAATACCTACCTGCAAGGATAATTTTCTTTGAAGTAATAGTCTAAATATAAACCTATTCCTATAAACTAACTAAACCCAAGTGGTTATTTTTAGCCTATGCAAAAAAAATGAAGCAAGCCCAGCAATAGTGTCAATTACTTTCTAGACATTATATAAACTACCAAAATATTTCACAGAAAAAAGGAAATACACCTTCAGTGTAGAAATGGGAACAAAAAACATACTCGAAAAAAGATACTTTAGTACTTTTTTACTATTACATTACTTTCGTATTTTTAGAGAAATAAATAGAAGCTTACTTTACTCATTTTTATGAAGACTTAAGCACAATCAGCTTCCACTACAGTTGCCACCTCACAGTTCAGGACCTTTAAAAGGAGCTTCATGCAGACTGGCAGGAAAAAGTGCAGACCCTGCCATCAGAAGCATCCCCAGTTTGCAGGTGATGCCTGAGCAACCAGCGGATGAGAGGTTTTAGAAACTTGCAAGTTGCATAATCACAGGATTATATAAATTATAAAAATTATATAATCACAAGATTATACTAATTGTTTCCTTCCTCTTCCACTTCCCATGTTTGAAGCTCAGCTTTGTGTTGCTGTGTAAAAGCTTTTGTCAAACTTGAAGAAAATGAGGAACAGCTCAATTAGTTGTTGCAAGCTAAAACTTTAGGAAAAGGAAGGATACAAATGCAATTAAGGTATGCTATGTAACTACGATCTATAAATTGGAAAAAAAAATGTACGTATTTCAAGCAGCAAGGAGAAAGTCAGGTGCTTAAACACTGGCACCAAGTACCCATTGTAAATGCCCTAGAAGACCTGGAACATCTCTATGTGGGAGACCCATGCTCTTCTGGCATGGTAGACGGAGCTGAGGGAAGATTCTCTGGGGCATCTAAAATTACATTTGGCATTCTGCATTCTTAAATTTCACCCTGACACAGAACTGGGAGGTGACCTGGATGTACATGACTAGGACTGCTGGGCTAAACATAGCAGTAGTATAGTAATTCTGAGTTACACCCATTTAGAAGATTAATTTAAAAAAAAAAAGAAAAGAGACAAAAAGAGATGTCACAATCATCCGATTTCCAAATGCAATGAAATATCTGAGGAATAGCCAAGTGAGTTACAAGCCTGGGCCTGCTAGATTTTGCATGGTCAAAAACACATTGAGTGGTGAGTGTTGAGGCTGCTTGTGCTAGGCCATATGGGGAAAGAGTTATATCAGAAAGTAAGTCAAAAGAGCAAGGAAACAGTGGAGTCAAGTAAAATGTTATTAGCTGAGAAAAATACAATCAGAAGTGCAGCAAAACATGGTTGCATTTAGATGCACCACAAACAAGTTTACAAGAACAGACAGCTAAGGTTCCATATGTGATTTTAACATTTTAATTCCACACATTTTGAATAATTAACATTCTCTTAGATTTTAGGCAGTATCATGTATTTTTCTAACTATTGAATTTGCAAGGTCAAATGTTCAAACACCAGAGGTACAAGAAGATACCCAAACCCAATGTTTGGCTGTCTGAATCTAGGATGCATAAATGTCCATTTTATGACTTTGGATGTCAAAGTGAACAGCCAAACACAACTTTCAAATACTTTTTATAGATATTTTACAGCTGTTTTTTTTAGAGTCTGGAAACATATTTGCTTGAAGGAAGTTGCATTTTTTTATTAATTAGTTGATATCACTGTCAAAAGAAATATACTCTAGAATAATTTACCATTCTATTACTTCTACACAAATCTAATTATTTTACAAAATCAGTGTTATTCAGCATTAGAGAAACAGAAAGACAAAACAAAAAGGCATTAAGAAATTTCTGAGAAAAGAGTCTTTCATACATTTAAAGAGTACTTGTGAGCAGGGCATGTAATAAACAGCTTACTTTTCCTTATGTGATTTTTACTTTATCTATAAAAGCATCCTCAGTTTGAGAACTGTTCTTTGACACATTCCTATATTTTTCTTTGTAATCCTGAGAATGGCAAGGTCAACAAACAAATATTTAAGTACATTTCAAAATAAGATAACAAACCTAGAATTTCATAAATTAGGCATCAGTTTTGTTATTATCTACTCTATGCAGCAATCCAGCTATTGGTAAATAGGTATTCAACAGAAATGAAGTTCTCTTAATTGAATTTGAAGACTTCATTCTGTAAAAATGACTTTCTTTTCCTCAGCACTTACAGTGTATTTTGTTTATATGTTTTACAAAATGCCATCAAATATTCCAAGAAAGGGCTTGACATCACTGATTTCATCATCAAGAAGATATCTAATGAAGATTAAGCAAACAAGAAAATTAAATTATGTATAGTACATCAAAGCCTGTGAAATCAGGCACTATACAAAGTACAGTCAAGAGATATCAACACAAGCAAAATAATTTTAAAGTATTTTCCTTTCTAAGAAAAGTTAATTGTTACTATTACTGTGAAAATTAATCTTTTTAAAATTAATGTTAAAAATAACACATTGCCTTAATGTCTGTGTTCCATGAAGAACTAAGCACTAGAACACCAAGACAACAGAAACTTTTTATTACCTGGGATCCACTTCTTTTTCCTTTTCTTTTGTGAAAATAAAAAAATCCTCTTTCCTAGTGAATTTGGAAGAATCTGAGATTATTTTTGAGATTGAAGAACACTGCACATTTTCCAGATCTTGTGAAGGATTTGAATGCTTTTTTTCTTGAAAACTGAACTGAAATGTAAATGTTAAAAAGCGTATATGGTTAAAACAACAAACCAAAAGAGAAACTGCCAGATTGTTGTAGTATGTAGTGCAGATATTCATACTGATATTATGGTATTTGACAAGGACCAAGAACATGATAAATATAGTTATATACTGTATGACTTTCAGAATCACAACACAATCAAATTCAGTGAATAGTTTTGAAGTCATACTATATTAAATAAATTCAAGTCTTAGTTCTCTGTATCATGAATATCAACAGGATGCATGCATGTCTGGACAACACAGAATGGTTCAGAAATTCAGCATGTCCAAACAGATTCATAAGTCAGATATGGTAAATATCTGGTAAATAGTATTTACACATGAAATACTCTAATTATAGGAAATTCTGTTTAAATACTTTTACTCACCATATTTATATTTCCACTCTGTACAGATAAATTCACTTTTGATGTGCTGTTAACCACAGAAACAACTGAGTTCTGAATATTGGTTACATCTTGTAATATGCACAAACTGAAAATATTAAGTTGAATATTTTAAGTATTTTTACAGAAGTGCAAAATTATTTACTTGTCAGTTCAGGATTTTCTACTTACTTCCCTACACACTTAAAAAAAAACCCCACAAATCATTCAAGAGTTCATGCCTTTTAGAAGTTGAAATTCCACTCACTTATGAGTGAACAATTACATCTAATTATACAGATACATGTGATATACAGACAATATTTTTAACTGAATAAAACTCTCATAAATTATATAATGCTTACTCTTTTGAAATGTCATTTGTGGCTTTGCTTCTTGTATACTGGCAAAGTGGTTCACACTCATCTGGAATTTGAAGGCAGATATTTCCATGTTCCACAATAAAAATGAAAGTTTTAGAAACCAAGTCACAAAACAGCTGAAACCCCTTGTAAATCTTTTACATAATATGATAAACAATAGTTTAAAAATTATTCAAATGTCTTAATACTTGACATATTTCTTCTGTGGTATTGGTCTAGTGTAAAGATAAGCAGAGATAAGCAGTCAGATAAAAAAACAAATATGCAGTTGCAGGCCATCTGAAAAAAAAATTATTGTGACTTTCTCAACTTTCCTTTCCATATTAGATTTGTCTCAATACAGCCGACATTCAAAATAGAGTAATAAACCTGGTGGTCAAATCGATTAACCAAAAAATTTCAGGTAGTTCTATTCACTGTATACTACAATAAACTATTCTCAAATAGCAGCCTGTAAAATAATATGTATTTAGGAAGCAAAGAATTGTTTTAAATGACCTTACCCAATTCTCTACTGGCAAAATTGCTAGCAAATACTAATTTCTCATCATCAATATCATCCCAAACGTCATCTCTCAGTTCAAAGTCCACATCCAAAGCATCTGAAAAACAAGGATCTGCTTTTATCTGTATCAAGTCAAGTTATGCATTAAAGACTTTTTTTTTTTTTTTAATGCCATTGTTTCTTAGCCCTTCTCACTCACAAACACTAAATGTTTCCAAGAGAAAGCTGTAATACATTTGTAATGGACAAGTAGAACAAAAACTGTGCTATGTTTTATGACCAGTTTTTCAATCTATTAAAAGGGTTGTCACATATGCATTTTTTCCTCAGTGTTATTTGGAGAAAAGTTATCCTCAGGATAGATTCTAGAAAAACAGGCCTTATAAAAATCACTGCAATTTCATTCCTTCCCTTTGTCAGAAGCATTGTTTGATTCCAAATTTAATACTTCCAATTCAGTCCCTTTTTCTGTCCACAGTTTCTAAAGAACTCTGAATACTGCCTTCCTCCTATACATCTAATGTATAAAAACTAGCCACAACAAACACACTCTTAAGCATTGTTGTTAAAATTCTTAATTTAAATGTGATTGTTAATGTTTTAGAATACTTTATTTTCTGGTGCAAAGATGAATTTCCTGTTTCCTCTCTTACTCTCTTTCCCTTTTGTTTGTTGTGTTCTCTCTTTTCATCACCAATCCAATTCCCTGTGCTAATTTTTTTCATCTTTCTTCTGCCATACTGCCCTCCAGCATCAGACAGTGCTGGAATCTTCATACTGTTGTCACGGCCCTAATATGCCTAGAAAATGCTGATCCAGGTCTCCCCCTTCAATAGAGGGGGAGCAGGACAGGCTCAAACCAAAAATCCTGTTCCACAGACACTGTCAAGACCAAGAAAGCACTGCTACTGTAATTTTGGATGTGCATAGTCAGCACAATGCATTATTGCACAGACACACAAACTGTACATGTTTAGGTTACTGCAATTTCACAGTATATTCTTAATTACCTGCTGCTTTTTTTTTTTTATGGAATGGAAAGTTACCATATTACAGATGCAGTTAACCCTATAAAAATCATATGAACTGATGCCTTACTTCATTAGAACTACTTTTGGTGCATTTTTTAAAATGCAGCTGGCCCAATCAATATGGCCAAGGTTATCTTTTCTCCTACTATTACATGGAGATATTTTTAGTTAGCACTATCTACTACATCCCCTTGATTCTGTATGATTTCCTTCAAGATCTTCTTGAGCATAGACTATAGCTCTACTGGAATATCCATCTGTCTTCCCATGACTTTATTCTTTTCACACAATTATATCATACATTAACTGCCCACTCCACCCAGCAACCAATGATATGGCTATGCAACAGTCTTCCATTTTAAGACTAGATAACAACTACAACAGGTAAATTAGTATGGCAGGAAAACATGAAGCACTGAAGGAATGGAATCACAATCCCATCATCAAAATATTAAGTAAAAATGAAATTATGCAGCATAGCTGCCAGCAGTTAAAGCAGTATGAACTAAAAACCATTTCAATTCATTTCAGCACAGTGTTTCTTATATGTCTGAGTACAACCTAAACATTTGAGCTACTACTTATTAGCAAAATTAATCAAAATCTGATTCACATCAATCTACTGTCACCAAATACAACAGCAAAAGGCATGCAGAGAAGAGAACATCATAGTTGTGTACTGATAATGAAGACTGATCGTTTAACACCAAATGTAAAAAAACTTGTGGCCGTTCCAGTTGAAGAGAAAAAAAGAGCAATTTTTTTTTCCAGATAGAGATATTTTACTAGTTATGAACTGGGTTACTGGATGGTCATATTTTGTCAACCACCAAAGAAAAGCTCATATTTCACTAACTTCTTCCAGCAGAAAGGGGTAAAATACCTTTCAGGAAGTATTTACAGATTTGGGCCTTCATATGTTTGATTTAGTCTTTACTGTTATATTTAAAGGTACATTTAGATGCTTAGATCTATATTAGAAATTCTTACGGATACCAGAAGGAAAGCAAGCCAGTTAGGGCCACTATATTTCCCTATACATTGTGTTCTATAACGCTGATATAGAACTGGTTGTTCTAGTGATTTCAGCACTTCTTGGTTTTCAGATCAAAGCAGTGAAAATCATAACTTCAAACATTAGCAATAACTTACTACTCTTTCCATAATTCCAAGATTGCAGTTGTTTCTGAGCTACTCCTAAGCTATTATCTTCCTGGTCCACTGAAGGGGATGAAGAGGACTCTTTATTGCTAGACCTATTGAAAAAAAATAAAACCAGTCACGTCAGTAAAACAGTTGCAGAAAGCTGTAAAATAATTTTGTTAAGAAAACAGTTTTTAGTTGTTACAACTTAACATACTATCTAAAATAAGGCAGATTTCTTGTTTGTTACTTATATTAATCGGTACCTTGGCAATGTCAGCAAAGTCTTAGGTGTAAAACCAAATTGTTTGAGATCCACATTTTGAGCTTGATTTAACATCTGCATCTAAAGAAGCAGATTATTGTAATTTATAGGTTATAAACATATTGAAAATCATTGTTTTTTCACAATCTTAATGACATCATTAATATTATATTGTTAGCATAATTTTTAAAGATCATAAGATGTTTCTGATTATCTGCTTATCTAGCATAATCAGTTAAAAAGGTTTAAATTACATGCTTGTAATGGAGTTATCCAAGTACCCTGGCAAAGTCAAGGATTCACTAACCCTCATCTGTATTAGCTATGGGCTAACTCATTCTCTATTGCAAACAAGAAAGCAAAACTGTGAGGAGGAAATAAAACACTCCGATATCTCAAATGCCATTCTTGCTTCAGAAAGAACTAGTTTAGTATTACATTCAAAGGAATAAAGTGTAAGCCATGAAATCTTTCAGAGGTTAAAAACTAACATGGTTGCGTTTCTTATAAGCAAGTGGATCTACCTGTCAATGCAAAAAGATCTCTTAGTATCATTACTCTGATAAATACCACTATTGTCATTGAGATCATATTTTGCCCAAACCAAGTCACAGTATAGTACCGTCCAACAATGCCCCTGTACCTCACCTCACCACAATCTAACAAATTCCATAAAAGTATAAACAAAGAGTACATGCACAGAAGTGGACCACTGGAAGCATTCCAAACATCAGCAGAACCTTTCAAAGATTCCTAGACCTTTGGTACCTTTGTACTGCTTTGCTTTTTGCATTCTACACAGAAAAGACAAACTTGAATGTTCATATTTAGTTCTAAAATTATCTCTGGAAACAATATATACAAATACATAACAGATTAAAATAAATCTATTCAACGTCTGACTATTCAAATGAACCTTTAATCGTTTTACTGGGGGTAGAGACGAAATTGAGTTCCTGCTCCTTAAATCAGCTAAGTACAAAGAAAATTTTGAATCTCCATTCATCTCAGAATTTGGAGGTACTCCAGTTTTACCTGAGAAAAGGAATTAAAATAATCTTCAGATTAGTTTAGAAGGGATAAATTCTAATTCTTTCCAGATCAATGGAAACTTTGCCACTAAGCTTAGTATTGTCTAATGAAAGATCCTAAAAGATGTAACACACCAATGTTTATATAAAAATTTAACGCACTTGATGTTGCTCTTAAATTATATGCTAGATGTTCTGAAAAATATTATTAATCATTGCCGTGTCTCTAAAAGTGTTACTGACAAAGTTTTTTCTTACTGTTTTTAGGACTGCATTATAGCAACAACTCAGGCCTGACTTTCTTGCTTACATATAAATGAAGCTATATGAAATTATATTTGTCTAAAAGTAGCAGAAATTGTAAATTTAATGAAACTCACAGCAGTCATGCCCACACACATCCTTATTTTTACAGCGATGGTTGCATTCTCTGTTTCCGTATTTCTTGTAAGTAATCTCATGTTTAGATCTGCCTCCTAGATAAGTATAATATAGAAATGCTTATTTTTTATTTCATATGTATTGTTGAGAGAGTACTTCAGGCAGTAAAAGGCTAGAAGTAATCTGGGTCACTAGAATTTTGTCGCCTTCAGCAAAACTTTGGGCAGCACAAGCAATGTAATTGGAAAGAAATTAATCAGTGCTACTGAAAACCAGAATTACTACCACATTCCCAAATTGAAACAGTAATATTAGATACCAAACACCTATGATTTTTCTTACTTCCAAATTCAAAGAACTGCACTGTAGTACTTGACAAGCAGAAGCAGCAGCATTGTATTTTTATTTAACATGAGAAAGAAACAGTATGGATAAATAAAGATATAGCTCTCTACTGAAATAAAATTGAATTTTCTGTTGACTTTGCTATTAAGCAGATGTTGTGATCCGACTGTTTACCTGTATCTACTTTTGCTGCTGGCAGACTTTGTGGTGAGCCATAATGCATATCAAATGAAGAGTCAGCTTTCAGTTTTTGATTTGTAGCCACTTTACTTCCCACTGTTTTTGGTGTTAAGTAAAAGGCTGTATAGGCTTGCTGTACATCAAGGCCGACTTTGAAGAAAAAAAGACAAAAATATTTTAAATTGCTATAAACTGTTCTACTCTTTAGTTTTACTCTATTTAATTTTACTGAAGAGTTTAAGAAAGTATAAATTTTATTAAAAGATCATGGAAATTTGTTAAGATAATATACCATTAAACTCACGCTATTATATGAATAGATTCTTTATGACTGAGATTTAAAAAACCAAATATTTTCAGACTTAAAGACATGGTTACTTGAGTAACAAAATGAGCACTTTAAAAGAATTGTTCTGTATTGTTTGAAAACTACATTTATTTATGGCTTTGCACTGCCAAGATAATTTAAACTTTAAAACTGTACTGCAGTCTGTGTTACAGGAGTAACAGCAGCTCAATACTGGCAAAGGCATAAAATTAGTATGTTGATAGTACTTTTGAAATTGAATGCTAGTAAGGGTTCTAATTCTAATTAAACCCAGATTCATAAAAGATTATAAGACACACCATTTGTAAAAAGAGTATTTTTGTCGTTTATTAGGCACATATTGCTAGAAAACCAGACAGGCTTTTAAAAAATGAGACATTTTGTTTAAGTCTGAACCAGAAGCAGACTTTAAAATAAGTAGAGACTAGGAAGACCTGCTTTTAGGCTAACTTCACTGTTAACAATTTCAGAGAAATTAACTGTTGTGTTGAGTTTTACTGACCTCAGCAGAACATGTAGATAGCCAAGTAGTAATAAAAGGAGAATTCCTTCTTCACTTCTGTTTGGTTAGAAATCTTTTTCCTAAGCCACAAGTTTAGCCATAGGAATACAGATTATTCCAGGCTTGATTATTGTAATAGTCTCAATACTCAATGTTTATCATGGAAGCACCAACTATACTTCAATTAATCTAGCACACAGCAATCTTCTTTACAGGTGAGCATGATGACAGAATTTAATACAGCCACTCTCATAAACTGTATTTCAAAGTTCTATGTTTCAAGGTCATCACTGTCACTCTTCCTCTGCTGCTATAGTTCCAGTTCTATGGAAATTGACACTGAGGGGACCAATGTTTAAATCTACACACATTAGGGCACAAAATTTTCCACTGTAGAAATTTCTTGCTACTGAAGTGGAGATGAATCCATATCTAATACTTTTTTATCACAATGCAAAACCTAACCATTCACAAAGACAACTCTTTCCAGCATAAATAACCTATCAAGCTGATAGGTTGCCCCTACTGAAAGTTAATTCAACTTGAAAGTGAGTGTAAAAGAAAATCTTAATCTGTATCAAGAGAGCAAAATAGTATCTCCTAGTAACAGTTTTGGTGTTTCCCAGTTCATTAATATGCTAGTAAATGAAACAAACAGATATGTAATGAAGAGTGTTAGGTAATACCCAACCCAGTAAAAAACATGTAATCGAATTTTGTTTCAAGATCACTTAATTTTATCATATTTTTTGCTTGATGTAAAGTGTTTTAATAATTTATTCAAAATTCCTACGCAGTTGTTTTTAAATTAAAAGCATAATAATCAACCTACCATAATCAGAACTAATTAAATTTATACTAATGTCCTCTGATTTAAGAGCTCTTTTCACTTCTATTTTCTTCATCCAATTTCCAGTTTTCAGCAGCACAGAATCCCTGTAATAGATCAATAATATTTTGCTACACATGGACAATGAAAACAAAACTGTATACTATGGCATCTGTAACCAAGTGAAAGAGTCTTTACTTGGTCTTAGTTCTTGGATTTTGCTTGATAAGTGGCCTAAGAATAACCTTCCAATAATACTGATATGAAAATATGATTTATGGCCATAAGAGTGCCAGGATCCTGCAGATCATTTTCAGTTCTGCCATAAATGCCAGACTTTGGCTAGAACTCATATGAAGGTCACACAGTTGGAAAAGATTTTGTTCCCCTTTCCCATTTGTTCCAAGCATATCTTTGCCAACTGGAGAATTTAATTTCAACTCTGAGTGAAAAACAACTTTGATGATATGATATAATTAAAGAAAAATAGCTAATAAGAGTAAGGAAGAACTTGAGGATGTATCTTTTTAATAGGTATTTTACTTGTTTTACATTTATGTGGAAATTATGAGTTCCATAATATCACGCCAGTGTTGTTCAGATATTTATACATACTCTCTGTACTGACAAGCACATTCGCATATTTTGGGGGTTTCTGAATCTTGTGCAGCATTTTAAATTACAACAGTGACTAGAAAATGCTGTAGGATAAAGAATTATTTTGTACCATTTGGATCAGTAGAAAGTATTGCAAAAACCGCAAGTCACAGAAAGGATTAAATGCCAACACCCTTAAAAGATGTGAGGCAAAAAAACTTGATCATACATACATAATTTTCTGATTAAAAATGACTTTGTTGTCAGCATCTCCTATCACCAATGTAACATAGTGAAAGTCTGTCGCTGTTCTCTTTGTCTGTAGCTGCTCATAGTTTGTTAATTTGATGTTTACTAGGATTTCAGCCAATGTATCACTGTATTTTGGAAGCTAGGATAAAAATATATAGAAGACAACATTACTGCTAAAATAAGCAAAGTAAAATATACACCCTTCCATAAATTTTTAACTGTTGATAAAAGCACAAAAGCTCGATTCAAGCAATTTCAGTTTGCGGTACAATTTTTGTTGTTCTGAGACACTATTATACAGTACTAACTTGCACATAGTTGAATATCCTAAATTTGATTTAAGTATTGAGAATAAAAGTCAGTCTACATGATAGCCTTTGAAAAATTACTAGGTATGTTTTGGCATCCCAACATTTCTCCATATTTATAATTGTTAAATCTTTATTCTGAGAATAACTTCAGAGATACTCATCTGCTATTATGTCAAATAAAATAGAACTGATCATTATAACAGTATTAGCTCACACATTTATTGAGTGTTTAACTTCAAAGGTGTCTTTGTACCAACTTCATGAGACACTTTAAGACTATTTTTCAAATTTTGCATTTGAGAAAGGTAGAGTGGCTATGTGACCTGTTTAAAGACAAAAATCAGAACCTCAAAGCTCTTGACTGCACAGGGAATTGCACCCTTCCTTTTGAAAGGGTACTAACTACGTTAATGTAATAATTTACTGTTCCTTTATATTCCTAAGTGTGATGTAGAAAATTAACATGAATTAATGCTTCTTTAGTAAGTTTTATATGGATGTTTTTCTGTCTCTAGGGTTTATATTCAAGATAGAAGAGACCTCTCAGATTCACATATAATGCCAGAATGTGGATTGAATCTGTAACATAAAATGCTATTAATGAGAGAGGGTCCGATTTATTATACAGAATGTCTATTCCAAGGCTCTCCGTTGATGTTTAAGAGTTTGATTATACATGCTAAGGTGGAAAGAGGCCATAATATTGTGTAATCTTCGATCAGTGAAGGCTCAAAATTTCTTTGTCCATATTTGCTCTTTCATTTAATATTATCAGCATAAAAACATAAAATAAATTTAAAAAATAATTTACCTGTTCAATGTCAAGTTCATATTTTGGAAGGTGTAAAACAGATTCTTTTATCTGGTTCCCAAAAGGAGGATGTCTGTTTAATATCTGTAAAGATTCAATTTAATTTCTGATAGATTCAACTAATCAGAGATGTCAACAGAAATATAAATCCAAGGAATCAAAGTCACCAGAGTAATCATGCTATCAATAAAAGTCCTTTTCACCCCTGTTTCTCTACTGTCAGTGATGGCCAGAATAGCAACGTATCCAATAGAAAATACTTTTCATATTGCCACTACTGCTGTTCAGGTACCAGGCAATGAACTAGCCAATCACCTCAAAACCTGACTACTTTTATATGAGATGACTTTTCTATGTTGCACTAGCTTCAGTCAAAACAAAACAAATTACAGGAAAACTGTAAAAGGGGGCAGAAAAGAGAATCAAATTCCTAAAGTCGAAACAGAAAAATCCAAGTAAGAACAATTTCCTTTACGAATATGTTGTATCTTCCAGAACACCGGAAAAACAGTTCCGTCAGAAAAGAAGCCAAGAGCTGAAGAGCTTGTCCTGGAGTAAAATCTTACTCTCCTAAAATAAGAAGTGCTTTATAGATGATTCAGAATAATTTTATTCTATGATTATTTTTAACTAAAACTAGCAATAACAAATTCAGGATTTTCATCATTAACATATATTAAGAGAATCTGTAAATACATATTCCCTTTGATATTATTTCTAACATTCCTAAAGGGGAGTCCTTTATACAAAAGGATTGTCCTTTGTTTCAAAACATGTTAATGATGAATTTCGATAATATTTAAGCAACTCCTTTCCAAACCGAGCCAAATCAGTGAAATCCTCCACATTAAATTTGCTAGAAAAAAACACCATGCACATGTTCAACAAAAATAGCAGTAGCCATATTTTTTTTTAAATTCACTATTATAAATGAATAAACCACTTAAACCACTCAATTTTACTGACAATCATATAGCAGATACATATATTAACCATCCTGCTTTTACTGGTAACATTATTAATACTCGATGTTTTCTTTATCATATTTATCTGCATACAACATATTACCAATTCAAGTTCCCTTGCATTTGTGTCTTCTATTTTTTTAAATGATGTCAGCCCAGCATTTACCATAGTGTTTGACAGTGATACACCTGTGAAAAAAATGTTTTATGCTGTTAAATGACAACCACTGAGCTTAAATTATTCTCAACTTCATTATAGCAGGTAAAACCAAAGCAAAAATAATTTTATAGTACATTTGTCCCAGTTTTTTGCCCAGCATATTACTAAATTTATTTTCAGTTAAGTATTTTAATATTATTTAATTTCACTTATACATTAGTAAAAAGAAATGCAATACAAATCAAACACAAAAACATTCAATATTTCAATACTGACAATTTTGTTATGTTTTCTAGAGTAAAACAGATTTTAGATCACTTTCTACAAGAATCAAGAAACATGTTCTGCATATATATGATGAAAAAAAGCACATCACACAGCATTCTTTATCTCAGAAATGTTTTCCCTATCCAAGAAATTATTTATCTATGTTAAAGTCATATGGATTGCAATGTTTTTAAGCAAGCTAATAATGAAATTCACTCAAAACCCAATTTATTATAAGCATCTAGGAGTCTGAAGATTTAGCAAAAATTTTTCCCATGGCTTATCTGCCACAAAATCAGACTGGCAGAGAATTCCACATACAATCTTCATGATTTCCAGTTCTTTCAAACTTCCAGTGAGATTTAGAGTCCTCATAACACGAAAAGGCATTTCCTTTACCTGGAACTAACGCCTACTACAATAACTGAAATAATGTTATATAAAAGATACTACCAAATACTTAGAATGAGTATGTGGATTCTTCATACTTAATGCTGCAGAAACAGTAAAAGAGATGTGAAAATTAAATGGGAAACCTCTCAGGAGACTCTTAGACTGCATCCTGGAAGATGTTACAGCAATCCTGTAAGAAAAGACTCATTTCAACTCAAGAGGTTAATGATTTAGAGAAAGAGAAGACCTTTTGTCCTCTTATGCGTATTTGAACACCTTTTGGGTCTGACTTGGGGAAGGCATCCTCTACCATCTCCACTCTCCTTTGCAGAAGCTCTTGCAAACAGTCTGAAGACTTAAGACTCTCACTTATTACTTCTGCAGCTACTCCAGTTAGAGCTGTTACCTTGCTCCTTTATAAGTAAAGTTGAAGACTAGTTCTTTTGTCATAATTCCTAACATCACAGAATGGTTTCCTCCAGTGAAAAATTATGAGATATAAATAGGAATTTTTTGCTTTGTTTTTAATCTATTCCAAGCAAGAAAAAAACAGAGGTGTAAATCAAGCTGAACAAGTAGTAAATGTGATAAAATGTTGTACAGCAGCTGGTCATTATCCTATCCTGTCAGAACAAGCAAACAGAAATCAAGCATATCATACAGCAACAAGAGGGAGCATTGTTATTGGACAAGAGTAACAAATTGAGATAGTAGTAGAAATGCAGCAAGAATTCAACTGAATCCTCAATCTCAGTAAGGCCAAATGTCGTTAAATAACAGTAACTCTTATAAAGAAAATACTGATTTGATTACTAAGGCTTTTTCAAGATTAAAAAAATATATACTGAGATAAGAGTTTAAAAATTAGGGATTTCTGAATACGTTACATAATATCAGTAAATTTCTGTCAGCTCAAACAATTCACTTAACTTCACAAACACACAGAATAGGCTTAGCAGCCATAGCATGACAGAGGTCAAGAATGAGACATCATACTATAGGCATCAATTCAATATTTGATTCAGGAAAAGATAGTGAATTGTCAGCAGACAGTTCAAAAGAAGCCTGTGAGCAGAACAAATGGAACTTTGAAAGTCAGCAATTCTTTGTAACATATGCTGCAAGAGCAATGACAGCATAGGAAGAAATACCAAATAAAAGGAAACCAGGACAGAGATGTAAACCTGACTTTATTCTATTGAATATAGTGTACAAGAGAGGGTTTGTTTACACTGCAAGTGCAATGTTTATTCCACTCATCCTAACCCCCTAGAAATGCTGAACATGAGGCAGACTCCCCAAATGACTGTGTGCACATCGACACAGATCCAAAAGTAGTGGAAATGGACTCCTACCACACTGTACTGTGCTGTGCACAAGCTAAACCCTGTCTCTTGCTTTGAATCCACGTGAATGAAGCAATACAGCTTCCGCACCTGAGCTGGCAAGGCTGCAATGTACTGTACCATATGGATCTTCTGGCTTAGTTATTCTCTAATTTGCAAAGCAAATACAGAGAACTCTACAGTGAATTCTGAAAGCATGACAGTAAGACCAGACATCAAGTCAGGAAGCTATACTACTACCTCAGACAAGTATAACTACATTTTTGTAATAGAGAGGACTCAAAAATTTTTGAACTCCTTTTCAAATAATTATGACAAGTTTGTACTTCCAGCCAGAAGTTTGTCTAGTAACAGGAAGAAGGTTGTTAGAAACTTGTGATCCTCATGTGTATAGAGCCTCACGCACAGTAAGTTTATTTCTATTTCATGATTCCTATCCATGTCAATGCAAATTAAAGGGCTTTCACGCATATGAGTAACAGGACCTACAGTGACAGCTGTTTGGAAAGGCAGGCATAGCCTATTCAGAGATGTGCAATCGCACAAATGTGGAATGTGCCCAAGATACTGAGATGAGCATTAAGAAAAAAGAGCAACTCTGAAATACTCTGCAAGCCTGAAGAAAACTACTAAATGGATTACTTTTACTTTTATCATGACAGACTATTCTGACAACTATGGTACCCAGTTGTGGCAAATGAGTAATTAGGAGAGACTAATTTAATTATGCAGGGAAACACTCCAGAAATTAGCAGGCTAATTATGAGTTTTGATTCTCTATCAGATTACACCTTCATGATTTCTAACCAGTACCTACCAATTTTTTCCAGTTGTTTAGACACATGAAGTGAATTTTCCCAAAGTTTGCACCTGAAACACTTTGCTAAAATCAAAGAGTTTAATAAAGCAGAAAAGTTGTTCTTGCACGATGCCAAAAAGTCAGATAACCCTGTAAAAATAAGATTGACCTGTATTAATCAAATAAAATGTAGCTTTTTATTATATGACCCAAAAAATGATTAAATTTTACCATACATCTAGTAACTCTTATGCCATTTCTAAATATTCTCCCAGTATCTTGTGTCAAAGTAAAGTCTTGAATAGGTATGCATCCTAGCTGAGCCTGAATAAGACTGGAAAAAAAAATATTTTTGGGTGTATAAGCCATACGGTAAGCAGAGTACAGCAACATAAAAGTTTCTACTGGAAAACAAAAGAAAATTCAGGGTAGAAATAATGAAATGCAAGATTTAGTCCTCTATAAAGTGAGACAAATTTTAACATGGACTTCAACAGCCATAAAATGACAGCTTTTCAATAAAAAGAAAGAACAAAATATAGTATTTACCAGTTTATTTTCATTTCTCTTGTTTTTATCTTCCCCTCCATTGGAAACCTATGCATGAAAATAAACATATATTCTGCTATTAATTTTATTTATTGCTAAAAAGATACTTTCCTTTTTCAATGTATTTATTTTTTATACCTGATTGTTAATTTGTCCTTGTCTTTATTCAAACTGTTCAGTATTTTCTTTTCGTTTGTTCTTAACTTGACATCCAGAAATTCTGTGCAGTTGGAGATCATTGTAATCTGTAACAATTTCACTTTTTGATTAATTGTCTGTCTTTGCCATTTTTTCTACCATTTCTTCCAACTTTTTCTAAAAAAAGCTTTAAAAAATATATTGTCTCAACACTAAGACTGTGAAAAGATGGTCAATCAGTTTTTTCTAATACTGACCAACTTTCTCTCATCTTCCTATAAAAGCTATTATATAACAAAAGGGGAAGATTTTTCTTTCAGTTTTTAGATTGCTATTCCACTTGAAATTATCCAAAAATCAACACTGCTAACACTTTATGACATACAAGGCAAATAGAAATAGTTTTTGCTATCTTTTATGTACTTCACTTTACTTTTTTAATACTTTAGTAACAAAGATAGCCACAGGAGAACAGGCATTCCATTTTTTTCATGGCCAATCTGTTCTACCATGGTATTTGCTTGAAAACAAAATGTCTTTCGTGACCTAACAGTAGTAATAACAACCTGTTATCTGACAGAGGAAAAGACAAAAACATTCTTTTAGAAGTAAAATCTGCTCTCTGTGCAGCTGATTTTTGCAGTAAAAAGTAACTACTAAACTACAAACTAATACACTGTTTAATACATAAAAAGAACAGATTCAGCAACTTTGTATCTTTGTAAGCAAGGTTAGTGAGGGGAGAGAGTTGGAAATTGAAAGATGCCAGAGTACAAAGGCTCAAAAATACTCCATATGGAATTTATTTAGATGGGTTCTCTAAAACTTTATACTTAAACTAAGTCTGCGCTAGTTAAAAGAAATAACATCTGCTTATCTTTGATTCTGTTTAAAATCAATGAAACATATGTAAATTTTCTTTAAAAAGTTAAATTACCAATTCATTTAAAGTCTCTGTTCCCTTAATTGTGAAAAATTGTTTCACTGTATCAAATGCAATATAATACCATGCCATTAATCTTCCAGTCTCTGTAAAAGAAGAATATACCTTAAAAAATAAATACGCCAAGTATTTTTTTAGTGTATTTTTTAAAGTCACAAATCAAATTAGTTTTCTTATTACAGGGCTCTATGAGATTTACCACCACTGACTCAGCATGTTATTGCCCCCAGCTGTCTGATAGATATTACTGATCCCATTATAGAGTGGCAGAAAGAAACGTGCCAGTTACAGTTTTCTCCAATGGAGATGAATTCACACTAATACACCAGACTGTGAACTGTGGCTGCTGAGAATCCAACCACCTCTAGCAGAGGATTGTAGAGAAAGATATTGATAAAACCCGTCCTTCATTGCACTGTGTCACATCCAATCATTCTCAGATAATTTTCTGTAATTTTCTCCTCATCTACAAGATTTCCAGCAACAACAAGACAAGATCTATTCATGGATCAACATTAAGAGAATGAACTTCCATGATTTGTTAAAGAAACTTGCTCATATATTCTAGCCAAACAATCCCTCAGATTCTGCTCTCTACTACATTTGCGTACTCCTATTAACAGGTCACAATAACTGTGTTCACTTCATAGTTCACTACTATCTCAACATGACTCTGAAAATTAGTTTATTCAAAAACAGTGCTACCTGTTGGTTTGAAATTATTTGCTTCATCCATCCTGATCAAATCAAAAGATGATAAATCATTTAGGTTCTTCAAACACAGTTCTGTTGACAATTTGAAAAGATATCTATTTTTAGCACATGCGGAAAAACTTATCTATGTACAAACTAGAAACATAATCAAATTGAAATTAATGTATACCCAAGTAATTCCACTGAATTTAAGTATAGGTTTTAGAACATGATCCTGCTTCTACTAAAGTTGGTGGTTAACTTCTGCTTGGGGAAAGCTCCCTGAAAGATACTTGATACAGGACACCTCAACTCTTTTTCAGTAATGCAAAAGAAGCTAAGTAAAAGAAACTAGACACATGGAAAGTAGGCTGCCATATTCAATTCTGATTGCCAGACCAGAGAGCTCACAGTATTTATGCAAAAGATCTCCACAACAGTGTTAACACTTATTGGTTGAAATTTCAATATCCAGAGGTATTTATGAATTCTTAATCAGAAATTTTCATACTCTATCAGGTGCATTTGTATTTACTTCACTAAACATATTTAGTCAGATATCTGCATGAGGATGACCAAAATGTTTTGGTTTTCTCTCTTGCAAAACCAAGGTAATTAAAAGGCAAATATTTATAAAATGTTGAGAATTTAAAATTGAATTGGGAAAGCACTCAAAGTGATAGTTCCCATAGCAACCAGAAATCATCCACAATGTACATGAAATGTATGAAAACATAACTATACACATTACTACAAAATATTTCATGTGTGCAGGGAAAAGAAGCTAGATTCTGTAAAAACTTTAAATAAAGATTGTCTGTAAGATCAAAGTACTTCAGGGAAAGATAATTCACACCTAAAAAACATTTTTAAGTGAAGTCTTCTACCCTAGCACTATCTATAAAGGTGATTTCAAACCTTGCCTTCTCCCATGAAGTCTTATTTAGGTAGTAACATGCTTCATACCCTCCACTCCTTTCAACCTACATGACAAAACCAGAATGCCCTGATCTAAAATACAGAAAAAGGTAGAAAACAACTGAATGAGCATATGAACTAGGTAACTTTTCTTACTGGTAAGTATTCCTTTTTTTCTTATCTGCAAATCATAATCAATGTCTCTCATATTTGGAGACTTCAAGCAGTAGTGTATATACTAAGTGTATTCCTGGAGATGGTTCCTTGAAACCCTTATAAAATAAATTAAGCCTCAGCATAGTTCCACACCAAGCCCAACAACAATCACAAATTTTTCTACATAATTGTGTAAAATTTAATAAATGTGTAAGTGGAGTCCAAATTTCAGGGCATGTATCAGTCTATGTTTTCATGTACCAGGTCCCCTCCAGATATTTAAGCTCCAAATGGTCTAGCATAGAAATACACAGAATTATGATGACATGAAGACTTTCAATGAAGAGAGAAAACAGCATTTGTAGATTTGCAAAACACCATTTACAATCTTAGTAAGTAGTACTTTATTAATATACTTATTTTGGATCTTCTAGAAAACATACATTAAGAAAAACAAATTAATAAAGAGTTATATGCTATTTCCATAGTTAAGATGAGAGGTTCTGATTTCCAAACTATTTAGTCAGCTGTAGGTTTTCTAATGGAATTTTAAATAACTAAATAGCAGTATTAAAAAAACCCCAAACAGTAATTGGGTTCTACTCAGGGCTTAGCAAAAAAAGCCTCTTAAAAGTAGTCTTCCAGTAGTTTTTAGAGTATTACAGGAAAAACATGGTGCTCCAATTTCTTTTTGTACCTGTAAAGTTGGATGCCTCATTCTCATATTACTGCTTGCTCAAAGACCAAGTGTGATTTCTTAATTATGTATTTGCATTCTCTCAGTTCTTTGCTATTATGCATTTGTTATTCATATGAAAACTTCATAACTAAATTTGGAATTAAAATAGCAAAATAATTCTTAAGAGGATCTACTGAATCCATACATCTGAGATATGACTGATATTGTATGGACTGCTAATGCACAGAAATCTTCAAAAGACTGCAAGTCTTACTTTGATGCCTCTAAGCAAAATAAGTAATTCAATCCATAAGGGCCAAATTTCAGGTAACAAGCAAACAATGCACTAGAATGTGCATCTCCAATGCAAAATGTCATGGTCAGAGAGTGGAAGTCTCAGATCATATCAGTCCAGATACCTGAACAGCAAACCTATACAATGTGAGTACTGTGATTTACCTGTACAAAAATACAGAATTTAAGATCTGCTCCTATCCTCCAAATCACCAAGTCCATTGCTGGACAAGATCTGCCACACTCTGGAGTTCTTTAAAATTCCTTTTTCACATTATTTATGCATTTTTGAATGACCAATGCAAAAATATCCCTCATTACACAAAAAAAAAAAAAAAAGTGTTCCCTCTCTCCACCTGCTCTTTATTATTGCTGACTAACATGCTATAATCATGCAATTTTAAACTGTTTCTGAACAAGGTGATGTTTATATTTTACATCCTTTTTTTTCAACACTAAATTTATGATGAAGGGAAGATGACAGTTTCTCAAAAAAGCTTTTTTGAAAGTATAGCAACAAAAAATAATGAAAGCAAATGAAACCAATCAAAGGAAAATTAGGAAGAATGATGAGCAATCAAAATTAAAATGCTCTGCTCCATATATGGAGATGAAGTAAAGGCATTTAATTTTTTTCCTCTATATCAGAAAAACTGTTTCACAAATCAAAATGCACTGATAGTGTTTCAAAAGTATTAATAATTAAATAAAATCAATAGCACGACATAGTAAATTACATTTATTCTGTGATGGGATCATTGAAATTAATGGAGGCATATAATAAAAATGGATGAACCCTCCCTAAAATGTAGTATCTTACTGAAAAAAGCTTAAAAGCCACTTACCTTGTAATTTTGCTTCAATTCCAATTTTATCCAATCCAGATGAAAAACCTTCAGGAAAAAAGCAAAAGGCTTTTTAACCTAATACAGTGACATACTTCCTTCTCAATATCAATTACCCCTCAAAACTAATTTGCTTATTTTTGGGAGGCAGACAAATACCCCAAAGGGAAGAATTTGTAAATATTTATTATACTGGGAACAAGACAAAAGCCTTACATAATGTAAGTATCTAAGTATCAGTAAGTGATTGTTAGAAGAGATGTGCAAAGGTAAAAGCTGCAGATATTCCCCTATGTAAATTATGAGAGTCCTAAAAACTGAAGAAATATCAGAACAACTTCACATGTAGAGTTTTCCTATTTTATAACATAGGAGGCCACCTAAATTGTAACATCCATTCAAGCATTAGATGTACTATGTTCCAGTTGCATTCTATAAATCCTTAAAAAAAAAATGTCTCCAGCAAGTGCCCAATGACTTCATAATCAGGTGTAGAGCAAGTTGCCAGGAACAAAGACATACTCAGGGCTGGGGACCAAGAAGCTGTTCTGTACAAGACAAACTGAAGACACCAGCATTAAGATAATTGAAATCTTGCTTTAGAAAAACTATGTAATATTAGACTTTTTTTTTTTTCTTAGCAGATTATTATACAGCGCTGCCCCCCCCCCCCCCCCCTTCCTTTTTACAACCAAAGCAAAGTCTAAACCCTTTCTAAGACATAGCATTCTTGGCATCAGCAACCCCTTGGGAAGCAAAATGAATTATAACTTTTTGAAGGCAGTGCTTCTGACCCTCCCCCTCTGCTCCACTTATATTCTAAAAGTTTTTTTGTTCTGATGAGAACAAAAGCACATTGCTCTCTATACTATTCAATATTCCAGATTTTTTTATCATGCAATTTGTAAATTGTGTGCCAGCTTCCTACTTTTTCTCTAATCCCCATTCATTATGTAACCCAAATGTAATCTTTAAATCTTTCTCCACAGCAAGGTGGAGCAGTATTTTTTAGTGGGCAGTACAAAACCAAACATTTCTCAGTTAAGAAGTTACACAGGAGTAATTTAACTATTAATAACAACCCTTTAAAAACTAAATGATGCAGTAGAATTGTTGGAATTGTAGGGTTTTTGCCAATAATAGTTTCTACTGATCTGCCTATAGATAGCATCAATATAATATAGCATTAACTTACTTGAGGCCTTCCTGCTCTCCCAATCATTTGCAGAATATCAGTTTCACTGTACTCTTGGAACACTCCTCCAACATAGTGCATTGTGGATTTTATAACCACCAGATGTGCAGGTAGATTGACTCCCATAGCTAAGGTGCTAGTAGTAACTACATCAGATTAAAGTATATTGATTGCAAGATGAACACCACTGAAATGTCTGGCAGACATTAAACAAGCAGCAAATAAGCAGTAACTTTTGATTCATAAGAGCTCTTATTTTCTCGTGAAGTCAGTGGGCATTCTGCCGCACAAAGAATTAGACTAAGTCTAATACAGACATATATTTGCATAAAAATTTCTGTGTATCTGATCAACATTAATTTATTACCAAGTATTCTTTAACAAATTACATCCCAGATATTTTTAAACATTCCTTAACATCTGGAGATAATCCAGAATCCAATCCATCTTCAATATAACACACACACACTGAAGAAACATTATTCATATTTCTTCACAGATATTTGATTACAGCCATGACTTCATCTTGCTTTGTAGGGATCAATATCTTTAAGACACATTTTTTAAAGTCATCAGTCATTAGCGTTGTTTATATCCATAGTACCAAGCCAGAATTACCACCAATACTACCATAACACTTTACCAATATGCACTTGCATACGGAAAACACAAGTCAAGTTTGTAGCATATTATCTCACAATTATGTTTTCTAATTCACTTTATCTAACAAATATATGGGGTGGCAAGAACTGAACATGGAAAGCCAGCTATACAGGCCAACTGATATTTCCAGTCCACTAGAAAAAAGTATTAATGAATTTTCCAATTCTTTTTTGAAATGAAAGGAGAACTAAAATAAGTAATCAGGTGCATCAAGAAAAAAGAATCCAATTTAAACTAAAGGCATAACCACACCACTTTGTAAGAATATTATTGTTTTTCATATCATGGTGTTATGCAAAATGGTAAATTTGTCAAAGCACAATAAGCTAACCATTAAAAAGTTGCAAAGAAAGGTCACCAGTGCAATTAGAGCTTCAGTCAACGTGTGTGTGTGTGTGTGTGTGTGTGTGTGTGTGTGTGTATACACATACATACACATTGTGAGTGTTCATACACTATTTCAAGGCCAAAGAATTTTTCCCCTTTGCAGTATGTGTGAAAGGTGTGTTTAAACCTTAGCCCTATCATACTCACAGATGTATAAAGTGGAATATGCCGCATACTCTTTCAGTTTCCACTTTCAAACTGCCATCTTCTCAGGATACATTAACAACATTTTGACTTTCAGTGTTACATTTACTTACAAAGTACTGGTAAGTCTCCAACAGTAAAAGCTCCTTCAATTATTTTTCTGTCAGATATCTCCATACCCGCATGATGATAAGCCACACCATACATTAAAAGATCTGATAATGAAATAATTATATGCATCCTTGACTAAATTTACTCAAGAAAGTATTCATTCAGAGTGGAGCAGTAGGAGGTCATATTTACCTCTCAGTTTGGAATCTTTCAATGAATTTGCCGACCTCTGTAATCTATGCAACACACACAAAAAAAGAACACTTCAAAATCACAAAACAGATTCACTAATGTAAGTGGAATATACAAAGATGAATGTATGTTTTTAAAAAGCAAAAATAAAGCTTCACATGAAACTAGATACACAATTACCTCACTAAAGATTGTAAGGTGTATTTCCTTGACATAATGTACATTTTTTACGCATGTTACCACAACTCTACTGCACTTGTGCTTTTTAAGGATGTTCTTAGTTCTCAACTACATGTTAGACTATCGAAAGGACACAGTCTTAAAGTAACTTTTAAAATGTACATTCCTTGGATATTTTCAACCACCACCTTTCCTGTCTTTGCAAAGGGAATAAACTGACTCTCCAGGGCAGCTGTTGCAGCCTTTCAAGCCCAGTCATCTTTCTAAATCACAACCTACAATCTAGGTGTGTTGTTCACATGAGACAAAGACGACAATATTTGAGGTCCAAAATCAGGAAGCAGCTTCTGTAGCTGCCATGATTAGGCAACCCTGAAGTAAATAATAATTAATATGGGTGAGGGCTGTATTTATTAAAGGTATCTGATAATGCAAAGACTTCTTATGGCTTAACTTAAAAAACTAGTAAGACCATATCCAATTCAACTATTCATATGCTTAATCCTTGCACTGCAAGGCCTTACAGGGCCATCGGAATTAACATCTGTATGTTTAAAAAGCAGCTTTTAGAAACAATTTAATGTTTGTTAAAAGTACCCTAAAAATCTGAGAAGCAAGTAAAACTTTCCAAGTGTCAATTTACCAAAAAGAATGTCGACTGTGATGATGATTTTGCTGCAGACACTGCTAGAAACTATTAGCTCAACAGCTTTCTTCACAGATGTCACAGGATTACTAAAACACACACTCATTAACAACTCAAATATAAAAATACCTCTGTTTCTGTTCTATACTCAGCAGAAATTTTGCATCTTTTGCAAGAACAGAAGCGGCCTGCTGTACTCCTTTTCTTGTGGCACAAAACTATAAATAAGAAAATATTTTTTTGAATCAACACTTTTAAGAAAGGAACAATTTCAAATGTGATTAAAAAAAAGCTGTTGTACCACAAGTGCTGGTTTTTGTTCCGAGTATGTTTGTATAATACTAGCGATCTTGTAGTTAAGAGTTAAGTCAAATTTGAATTCTGTCTGATTGTCACTGCAAGGAAAACCAAGCACAATTTTGCGTAGCTTCACTGGTCGTTGATCCTCATCTATTTTCAGACATACAGCAGGCATCTTACTATCGGAAAGCCATTCTGCAATCTTTAGAAAAGAAGAAATAGAATGGAAATTATAAATTTCTGGTTTTACTTATGCTCTGCTTTAACTGCATCACACAATAATTAACTTAGCTTTTGTCACATGTAAACTATTAACACATTTGACATTGCTTTTAACTTCAAAATCGCAGGCACAGTTCTGCTTTGTACAGGATCAATATAATGTGGATTAAGTCTGTTGAATTGTATTTAAGAGACAAAAAAACCACAAACAGAAGTCTAAAACTGAAGCATGTTCATCCATACTTGGCTGATAGTTCCATATGGCTGTAGGTCATTTGTTACATTAACATCAACCTCACAGCTGTCTTCAGCTGACAGCTTCAAAATGACAATTTTGTTATCAATCTGAATTTATAACTCCAGGTAAATTTTATAAAATACAACTACATTAATTAAAATACAGTTAAAATGTAACTCTTACATCTTCAGCGTTTGGGATTGTTGCAGAAACAGCTACAAATCTCAAGGGAGGAACAGTGTCATGATTCTCTGAAAGACGCCAAAGAGATGACTGAACAGTCTTCATTCGACTGACTACAACTTCTAATGTTGCACCACGGCTTTCATCCTTTATAACATGCACCTATTAGGAATTTTACAAGATTTGCTATATATATTTCTCCAGTTACAGTTTGTACATGTGTTAAATAAATGTTACATTTTCTAGGCTTCTTTTTATCTTCAAGAACAAAACCAGTGCATATAAAACTTTGATTTTCTTACCTCATCAATGAGAAACAGCCGTACAAGGTGGACTATAGAGTTGTCTTTCCATCTTCTAGTCATGCTATCCCATTTTTCCTAGGGGAAAAAAAAAAACAAAACTCAACAAAACAACAACAGAAGGTAAAAGATGTTTTAAAGGCCAACATATGCCAGAAATACAGTACAGGCAGACATGCTTAAACTTGAATAAACCTTTACATAAAATCAGTTAAATCAATCCAAGATAATGCCATGCATGTTTCATCTGGCACATTATTATATTACTAACTGTTCCTTATATGAACTAATGTTATGCACAGCAGTGTGTGGGCAAGCATAAAGTTACTATTTATTATTAAAAAAAGGAGCAGTCCTAGTAGCATACAGTTAGTAGACTACAAATGTCTGCTTATTCTAGGTTTTTGTAAGAATTGCGATTGAAACCTACAGGTGTAGTGATAATAATGTGAGCATGATGTATTTCAAATAAATCATCCATCACTGTATCTCCTGTCAGTTCCTTGCAGCTGAGGCCTACAGGTCCAAATTTTTCTTTCCAATCATCAAAACGCTGACTGCATAGAGCTTTTATTGGAGCCACTAAAAACAATACAAAATAATCAGTTATATCAGGAAACCCAAATCTTTTACTGTATTGCTAAACGTCTTCTTGAATTTAATTTCCCTAATTTCCAGCTTTGCTTTCAGAACCACAAAATTTGTAACTGGTATTATTATCCTTATTATCTTATTCCATGTGTACAGATCAGCATTGAGCTTTGGGCTCCAGTTCTTCCCTATCAGCAAACAGAAACAGAACCCTTTAACTAAGGCTATCATGCTCTCTTAATCCTGATCTTTTCCTCAATCCCACATGGAAACAATCATTCAGCTATCAAAGGTTTTCTCACAGACAGAAGCCACCACAGGAAATACATATTTTCTAATGGAAGATCATACAAATACCAACCTTTTTCCAGTTCAGAATGATTTGAGCACTCCATATTCAGAGAGAAAAATCATTATAAACAAGAAACGATCCACAAGTGAGAGAGAGAATACCAGAAGAAATCAAAATCTCTCTAAACCAAATGCACAGTTAAGTGTAGTCTGTGTCATACTGAGCAGCCAACACAGCTAGCAGTTCTGATGCTGGTCCTCATGAGTAGACTCCTAAAACAATCTATTTCTTGATATTTTTTTTTCCCTGTGGATACATACTATACTTCTACAGATGAGGTCAATTTCTAGAAATCAGAAGTAATCCTCTACAAGGACTGATACTAGCAACACACACAAGTCTATATTGGATGGATAATCTATATAGAAAATGCAGTGATTTAAGTGAAAGAAATAGTGATCTACACATGATCTGAAAACAGCAGTAATAAAATAGATCTTGCAATCATTACATTATAGGCTACTTAAGAGCCACTGGAATATGAACCACTTCTGCATATCTGCTGACAAGTGATCCCTAATATGAAGAGATACAAAGAATCAGTTTCTACTTTAGAAAGAGGTGTAAAATCTCACAAATGTATCAGGGGCCTATAAAGCAGGGGAAATCACTAGCTCTAGAAAACTAATTACCAGGAAGTAACTCATAAAATTGCAAAAGTAATAATCTTTCGCTCTCCAAGAATGCAAGAAGTTAGTGACTGCTCCCCAAACTTCAGTCACCAGTCCTTAGCATACGATAAAGCTACCGGGAAACAACTCTTAATTTACACAACTACTGCAAGCCAATTCACATACATTGGTCCACTGATGAACCAGGTACCAGAGCATACTGGCAGTGTATAATCTGATTAACACCTCTGTTCCAGTGTTTGGAAAACTGACATGTCTCCTTCTCCATCGTTGCTGAACCTGGAAAGGTCAGCAGATCTAATACAACTAGTGGGTAATTCCTTACTAAAAGTTCCAACCAGCCAGTTTGTATCAATTCTACCAAGGCAATCAAAAACATTACAGTACACTGAAATGCTCCACCTCGATCTGCTGACAAACTATAATACATGCCTATTTATAAAAGATCTGTTTATAATACACAGTAAACTCTAAATCAACACTAGCTTTATTGTAAGAATCTGAACACATTGTATTATTTTTTTTTTTAAAAAAAAAGATAATTAGGCTGAAATTTCTGTAACTATAAAGATTAACCATTAATAGCAAGACTGACAAATATATCACTGTATGAATTAATTATAACTAGGACAAACCCACTAATTTAATCTGATTTACATGATATGAACTCAGTTCTCCAGGAAGGAAAGAAAAAAAAGTGTAACTGTTATGACTATCTTCAAGTATTTTCCTTAGTTCCTGTACAGATCAATTAAACTCATAAAGATCACAGTTCTATTGCCTCTGAACTAGTAGACAGAAAGCAACAGTTAGCGTGAAACCTTGCCAGGTAAGTGAATGTTGGGAGACTTGATCATCATCTCAGAGCAACAGGCATACAAAAGATACTGCATGATTTCTGGCTCTGCCACTATGAACTGGTTTTAGTTTCCTTTGCTTTCTTTTTCTCTTTTAATGTACATCTTGCCTTCTTAGGGGACAAACTCTTTACAAGGTTTAAAAAGATTTTTATTTGTATAGGCAATGCTGAACACTACAATCACACAGTACTGTTAAATACTAGTAATAGTTACAATGGCATCACAAATAAACAAACCCTAAAAGAAACAACTTTTTAATTAATGAGGTAAGTCACATTTTTTAACATATTTAACTTCAATACTACTAAAGCACTCACTCCATATCTGCACATTTACAGAATGATTTTCCTACCGCTGTCACCAAAATGTTTAAAGCTGCATAATACTTACTGTAAACAACTTTAATATTTAACCAAGGCAGTGGGGCTTCCATGAGTAATCTGGTAATAGCTAGCTCAAACATCACAGTTTTTCCAGAACCAGTTGGAGCACAAATCACAAAATTCCTATCCGTATAAAGAAGCTAGGAAAGAATTGCAAAGTAGTAAATACAACACAGCTGTCCATTGTACCTATTCATACATTCCAAAAGCACTGTCTAGGGGAAAATGACACAAGGAAGTTGTTATTACATTGATAAACGTAGTCTAAAAATTTTGTATTAGATGTGAACTCTAAGTTACAGCAAAAGAAAGAACATCATCTGCTACACATCTACCATAGAAATGTAAATGAGATACTGTTCATCTAAGGTTATTATGTAATGAAGTCTACCATTCTGTGACAAACAGCAAAACCCAGCACCTAGCCTTAAGTGACATTAATACAGAATTCAACTGTTCAGTTCCAACTGCAACCAAACAGTCTTGTCAGAAAGAGTTATTCTGTGCTCAAATTCAATGTGCAATTTGTTTTCCTTCTGTAATTCATTCTGCATTCAAAATTCCAACATTGTTGAATAGATACCATTTTAATAGAATGCTGTCTTCAACAATGACAAAAGTAGGTTTTGTATGACTATGCTTCCTTCTTCCTTCCTCCACATTCTATCCACCATCTTAGAAGCCACATATGTCCATGTCAGGTTCCCTCATTTTCCTCTGACTGGGTTGACTCTACCCTGCTTCCTCCTCCTCTGCGACACTCATCCACCCTCCCTCCATGCAGCATCCTCTGTGCAGCTTCATTACTTTCCTTCCCTCCCAACTCCTCATGGATTCGACTATTCTCATTCTTTTTTACTTCTAGCTGTTAATGCTCTAAACCTACTCTATGAGTGTTAGGAGCTCACAAGGATGATCAGGAATTACATAGAATTTGATTTATAAATAACTGTAACAATGATTGACACGGACAGTAATGCTGAACAGTTACAAGAATTACCTGTGTTCTTCATCTACCTACAATTCCCAATTTTCCAATACTCACAAAAATCAATGAAGTATGAATGCTGTATGAATATAAATTTTTCCCTGATTTCTGTTAAATAATCCTTTGTAACATTCACTGTGAATCAACCTCAGAAATTCTACCAGTTTGAAGGCTTACAATTCATTTCTTGGAACTAGAGATTTGCTACAAGTTGAATTTTGCAAGCTTAACCAATTAAAAATCCCACAAGACCATTATCTTTTTAATAAGTTGATTTCTCTTAATTTTTTAACATGTCATGTCATACATTAGTGATAAGCAAACCTTGTACTTCCTGGTACCTTACAAGCAAGTTTATATTTAGGAGTACTAACATGTGAGTCACTCAAAAAAAAAAAAAAAATTTAAACTATTGCCCTAAGAACTCTGTTTTGCAACTTTCATGAAAGTAAATCTTGATTACAGCTGAGGTTTTACATTATTCTAGGAACAAACTGTCATACAGATAATTTTACAGGCCAATATGATGAATAACTCTCATCAGAAAATAAACACAAATTTGGAAGTAAGGAAAAATACCCCAAAACTATGCATAAAACTAAAAACGTAAGGAAAAAAGGCAAAAATACATATCCCCATATAATTTAAAAACAAATCATTCCACTCACATAAGCACTATTTTAAAAATCTTCTCTTTATAAAACACAGTGGATAAGAAATTAAAAATATTCACAACATCAAAATTGAAAAAAACATGCCTAGAAATGTTTGTGAATGACACTGGGATTTCCCCCTAGAGCTGAATAAAAATTTCGAATGCTTTGTTGAAGACTCTGCTGGAATCTGGATCTCCTTGCTGCAATACCTATAATACAATCTTTCTCAAATTAGTTGCTTTCAAAATAAGTTTCAGGCTTTAAACAAAGAGCATAACTGATAAAAAGGGCAGGGATAAACACCACTTCTCCAAAAGGACAACCTTCTCTGAAGTTCTGCTTTTCTCAATCTTCCTGTGAAAATCATTGAAAAAAATCACTAATCTGTATGCTTAAATATACATATAATTCACTTCTTCATAAAAATGTATTTAAAACTGAGAAAAACATTTTTAAAAGGTCTTCTGGTCTCTCTTCCCAGCTAAGTATCGTACAACCCTGCTCAAGTACTCCACGAGGTGGTTCTAGATATATTAGTTTTCTAACTCTTTCTAAGTTCTGAATATCAAAGTATCATTTAAATTTATCTACAAAGTACTACTTGCAGCTGCAGGTAATGTTTCATACTTACATCATCCAAAGCTTTAGACTGTGCATAGTTAAAATATGGGAACTCCTTAAAAATACTTCTAAACTGGGTCGCTTGACAGCATTAAGGAATGGAAAACAATTGAGTGAATATTATAAAACTTATTCTAGAACTGTAAATGCATCTCTCTTGTAATTCAAATGCAAACTTAAAACACATGCAACAATCTTTCACTGATACCAGACTTGTAAAAAAAATATCAAAAAGTAACCTATTTAATGATTTAGTAGCTTCATTTAGATTCTTGGTGTGCCATATATTTGACTTCACCAAAAAACCCCACTAACCTATTTGAGAGGTCTCAGGATTATTCCAATAAACCTTCTCCTTGGCATAGGCTTCATGAAATGGCATGCAATTATGGAATGTGAAACTGAAAGGGACAAAAAGCTTTATTCCACACTGCAAACCAAGATACAAGAGCAAGCAGAGCACTGCTGTTAGCATATCTAAAGCTTCAATGGTCATTATATTTGTAACACAACACAAATTAATTAGCATAATAATATATATCCAGTCATAACAGTAGCAAAGAAATTCACCTACAATCTCTTAGTGCTGAAAGTGATCTTAAAGATATTTTCAATTGCTAATATTGTGTATTCTTCAGACAACCACATTCTTATCTAAAATATGAGTAAGATGAAAAAGAGTATTGTTACAGTGAGTTGATCCTTGTCTGGACTTGCACTGAAGCCACACAAGCAGACTAACTGTAACCATCCAATCAGGCTGAGGATGAACCACAGACATAACACCAACAGTAACAAGAACAACGAACTGATGAGTCCTCAGATTGATGTTACCTTAAAAGACTAAATAAAGAAGGAGCAAAACAAGAAATAAAACTAGTTAAACATAAGCATTGAAAAAAATGGGTGAAGATAAGCAAGTAATATTAGACTAAAGAAAAGCAGGTTTTTTTTAAAAAGACCTCTCTAAAATTACCCCTCTAAAGTGATCTATTTTCAAAATGCAGAACACTGACTATCTGTAATTGGCAACATCAGAACAACTAAGTCCTCACTCATTTTGGAAATTATGATACTTCTTAAAGCTACTCAAATTAATTTAAACTGCCTAAATTTGGACACTTCCTCTTCCTATTTAACCTATCATTTGACAGCTTGCTAGAAACAAAATATTGAAAAGACAGTGTAAACAAAGCAACAAATGTTTGACACATATAGATGGATAGTTAATTATCTTATGGGTTCAAGGCAGAGGCAAGAAGACAGACAATTACTGTAAAATCTGCCTAAAGAATGGCAATATACTGGATGTACACTACAACATAAATACATATCTATAAGCAATAGATTAAGTTTATTTTCTCCTGACAAAATGGGACAAAAAGTAAGATTCAGCTGTCTCAGGAAGCTTAAATACTAATTAACTTTTCCTTTAAATAAAGTGTATGGGCATAATTGTGTATATGTGTCTTTGCATACAAAATCTGTCCTGAAATACATATCATGCAAACTAAAAATTTTACTTTTTACATTTTAAAAATAAACAGGTTTGAGAATAAAATTTGAATGTTTGAAATAAGAATAAATTTGATTAGCAGTGAATGATAAGTTGTCCTATTTTCATTCTCGCTTTGGAAGTCCAAAGGGTAAACATCCATTCATCATTTGATTCTCAGCTTTACATTACGAATCAAAACTATTACAGTATAATGCATGAGTTCCTATGGCTAGAAATTAAACACTACAATTTTGTAAATGTAAAAGCATTGTAAAATCAGTAAATCAGATACTGCAAATAGAAGGATACGTATTTCTGTAACAGCCCTCAAAATTTCCAATTTTCTTCCTGAAGTTCCTAAAGAAATAAAAGTAGTTAATTTATAAAACCAGATATGTTTTCAACCAATAACCATAAAAAATATCTTCTTGACCCCAAGATATGTGTTCTGTGAGGAGCTGCAAGACTACAACAAGGGCCAGGTGATACAGAAGGAGCTGACAGGATAGGACAGGGAGGTCACAAGCTTATGATTTGAAAGGACCATCGTGGTGGCTTTTTCTGAACTCACTCCAGTTTAAGGATGCCTGTACAAGAGACTCAAAACTTGATGCAGTATCTAGAAGTGGTCTCAGAAGTGCCAGAAAGAAAGGGATAATCACTTCCCTCAAGTTCCTGGTTTTGTTCCTGTTGACAAAGCCCAGGGTGCTGTCAGCTTTCATTACTGCTGGGGTATGCTGCTCACTCACATTGAGTGAGCTGTTCTCCAGACCCCAGGCACTTTTCTGCAGACCTAGCCCCAGTCAGTCCATCCCAGAGGAAACCCAGGGGTTTTTCGCCTTCCCTGGGGAAGGACTTTGTATTCGTTCCTGCTGAATGAACTTCATGAGATCCCTGGCACCCCCCTTCTCCAGAACAGATCCCTGCACTACTCGTGGCAGGCATGTGGGCAGAGTGAGACCCATTAACCACCACCCTCTGAGTCTGACCATTCAACCACTTTTTTTTTTACCCATGCATTGTCCATCCATTCCTAATGGTGTAACTTGGATACAAGAATGTTGTGGAAGACAGTATTTCTCAACCATCCTACAATTCTATGAAAAGCCTCACTGAAATCCAAGGAAATAACACTGCTCTCCCCTCATCCAGAAACTGTTGCTCAGAAGGCAATCAGAATTCCATTCCTGATCAGCCTCCAAATCCCATTTTAAACCACAGCTCTGCCCTAGATTTTCTGCTATAACTATTTTTCTAGTCTATTTCTGTAGCAGTTAGCCAGGTACCCAAGGTATATTCCACAGATGCAATATGTCCCTAACCCAGAAAGCTTAAAATCTAGAGATATACAACAAGTACTTAAAGACTATAAAAAACCCAAACATAATTTCTAACCCAAGTATTTTATAGTCAAAATTGTCACCACTTTCCAGATTCTTCCTATTTAAAATCTATTTCTACAAAGATACAAGTGCTTCACATCACAAATAAACATTCCACTTTCAATTGCTTATTTCAAATGCAGATTAGACTATTTACCACATGAAGGGACAAGGCTGCTCTTTTTCAAATTGTTTAGGAGACTGATTTAAAGTGACATTTTCAAAAAGGTTTACATGACTTAGCACTTTTGAAAATTTAATTCTTCTTCATAAATTGTTTACCCAGCTCATACTAAACAACAATACAATGAAGTTCCATAGAATTGCAATATGTTTAGCCATATACATTATCTTGAGCTGGTAGAAAACATTCTTTACCTCAGATCATGGATATCCGTTATTATTACATAACAAAGACAGACAGTGGACTGTTTTTCTTGAAATAGAGTAATTATAATTACCTGTCATATCCAGAAACTCCAAAGCATTGGAAAAAGACTTAATTCCATTTTTAGATGCAACGTCCCCATCATTTACCCTATGCAGAGTGAAATCTGAGTGTTTAGTTATTGGAGCACGATGATTATTACTCCACAAACCTTCTTTTCTCATTTCTTTCATGTTTTCACTTCTATTTAAGTAAGTACCGATTTCTTTCACATCCACAGAATGATCTTTAAATTCTGTATTTTTATACCTATAACCAGACATGTTAAATAAGCTGAAAAAGATCCAGGATTTTCATTAGTTTGTTGCAATGTTGCAGTTTCTCTAATATTTGACAAATATATATGTTTTATTAGAAGCAGAAGTAGCAAGATACAAGAAAGATTTGTATCTAATTTGATCTGATACTTATCTGAAGAAGACTCCTTTCAAGACAAATTTTAACTTTACTTTCATTCTAGAAAGAACCTGAAATAATAAACTGCCTGTCCAGATGGGCTCTGAATCTCACTAGCAGATTAACTATCAATCTCTGCATAATTAAAACCAACACAGACATACAGGTCCTGAGGAATGAGAAGAGCTAGGCATAGAAGATGAGTTTATCTGTAAAACCTCTCCTCCCAGGCAGCACTGAAATTGTGTTGAGAACTGCTCAAGGTACTCCCGACTGGCTGACCTCTGCTCTGAAAAGCAAGTGATCTTAGCCTTCTTGAACATTACCATGTAGATAAAGAACTCAAAATAGTATTCTAAAAAACTTTTGTTGTCTAACAATTTATTTTAAATTAAAGCAACATACCTCATCCTTACTTTTCTCAAAAAAGAGGCTGAGCTCAGGCCACATTTATTTATAGTACTGAAGTATTGCCAAATGGAAACACCTTTTTTTCTTGTACTAAAAAGAATTAGTGTCTGGAGCCCTGTTCAAGTACCTTCAATTGAAGGATTCAAAACTCTGCATTTAACAAATATATCTAAAACAATAATATGATTCTGACAGTTGATAAATTATCAGAATCGACAAGACACATACCTTTTTCTTAGTGTTGAATGGACACTTTCATCATTACTGTTTGCTGGAAGGTTGCTTAGTATTTTATTTTGGGAAAAATTTGCACCAGCTTGCTGAGAAACCCCCGTTCCTGTTTTAGATTTATCTTGGTCTGAAGAGAGAAACAATAAAACCATTTTCAGACTTTCACACTGAAAACTAATTTTTTCTCTTTCTCCTACACTTAATTGGAGCACTTCTTTTGCAGAGTCTATGCCAAAATGAACAGGTGCTGGTGACTGTTCATTTACTTCCTCAGCTTTAGTCTTACGTTGTTGTATAAACTTCTCATGCTTTCTCCCTCCTACAAAATCAATAAACTATTGTATCTATTAATATTCATATTCCCATTCATAGTAATTTAATTAAATAACTTTCACACAGAATAAGTCAAATGCATATATATTATATGAACTGATACTTCTTACTGTAAGAACTTTTTCATATATTTTATGACTCATGCTGATGAATGCAATGCATCAGTTGTCAATTAAAAAGTTAGAAAAATAAGGTCACATTCTATGCTTCCTATACAAAGTAATAGAGCAAAACTACTCCTCAGAACTACAGAGTAGTTTGTGAGATAGAAACTCTTCAACCTGTCCCAGAATTACGTTTTTTTTTTTTTTAAAATGACACAGTGACCAAGCTTGCAGTTCATACTACAGTGAGCTGTGAGATAAACCCTGCAATCTCGACAGTCAAAATCATAATGAAGTCTGTGGCAGGCTGGGTTCATAGTCATCTTGGTTAATTATCACATTTTGCAGGGTTAGTTCTCAGTAGGATGTGTCCTGATCTGACTGACCATATCATCATTGCTGTCAGCAAAAGGAAGGCAAGAGCAGAAAAAAGCAACTGAATGCAACAAGATTATAGAGCAGCTTTATTCCACAGCCTATTCATTTCAGTGCTATCCATCTAGAAACTTAAAATTACAACAGCCTGTTTGTGAAGTAACCACGACAGTTCTAATTCTACAAACACCAGAAAGCTTATTTGAATGAGTAGTTCTTAATGGAATTGCTCTTGCATGAGTTAGAAAAAAAAACCTTGTCTGAACAATATAATTCCTAAATAAAGAATATCATCAATCAACACAACAGCTAAGAAATGCATAAATCTAGTTGACAAAGATAAAGCAACCAAATTCTTTAAAATAAATTTCCTTAATGTGATCCAGGATGTCTACATGGAAGGAATACTCCACTTAGAAGCAATCAATGGCCAGATTCAAATTTGGCCTCCTGAACAGCAATTTTGAAAAAGCCCCAAAAGAAAAGAAAGTCAGGTTCATACAAACTCTCTGTTCCTTGGGTGGAAGACAGGTTATCAGATCCATGTGTTGCATTATGCTCTTACAGCTGCTTCCCACTGTGTTGTGATGCTTCATGGAACAATGTGGAACAGCTGAAATTTTGATCATGCTTCTTACCCTGCCCACTTCTGCACAGTAAACTTGTAGCCTGTATACTCCCAAAGAAGGCTGCTAATACTTCAAAGATATGCAAGACCATCACTCTCAACTAAAATACATTCTTTGGCTATATTTGCATATCTAGAATATTTTATATTTAACAGCATTAAAAGAGAGAGGAGAAATTAACTGTAAAGCTAATTATTTATTGAGCCAGTCAAAATGAATGTCAAATATTATGGTTTAGTGGGACTTGGCAGTGTTAGGTTTATGGTTGGACTTGATCTTAAATGTCCTTTCCAACCTAAATAATTCTATGATTCTATTCTATGATATTTTACCCAGATGAGTGTTGGTGGTATGTTTTTCCAGTTCCCTCTGTAACTCCTCTGCAGCTGGAATTTCAGCAATAGCTGGAGCAGGTGCAATACACCAAATCTTAGGCTCTTCATTTTCTAGATACCTATTTTTAACACATAAATGTAAGGTGAAAGCATTCTTTAAGCACCCTCCACAACACCTAGCTCAAAATCACTAATAATAAATAACCTACTGTTTCTCCTGCTAAAAAATATTCTTTAATTTGTGTGATTTTTAATCACAGAAAATTTGAGAGGCAAAGCTTCTGCTAACCCATATTTCTTATAGCCCCAAGATACACGTGCATTATTCAAACTTCAGGGTGCTTGGAAAAACATTTTGAAGTATGAGTTATGAACCTGGAAATTTCTAGCCCCACATTTTTATTCGTAAACAGAAAAGGAAGTCACAATAAAAATATCTGGCTGTAAAATGATTTAAAGTGTGGAAAAACTTTGAAAATAATTATATATATTTAAAAATAAAGATTTACCTTTGCCTTGTATCTGGTCTTTCATAAAATATATTATTCAATGAAAAAACCGTGTCTGAAGAGTTGAACATTTTTAGATCAAATGTGAATCTCTTAATCTGCAAAACACAGCACAAGGAACTGTGAAACTGAAATTACTAGAATTGAACCTGTATAAGCAATAGAAAGCTTCTTAGTTACAGGTGCCAGTGCTTAATTTATAGATTTTTAAAAATTTTATTAACTTTATTTTAGAGCTCTTGCCTGCATCCTTAATTCTCCAGAGAATCTCTCTCCTGATAAAATAATGTTGCTATTACTTATGACCAAAATTTCCTGTAGGACAGCACTTTAAACAACATCATCATGACATATCAGGAGGGAAAAAGTGGGTAAGAGTGAATATCCAGATGAAGTCCATGTTAAATTATTTAATTTCTAAGAATAATGCTAAAATTCTTTGATACAACTGCAGACAATTTAATTTTTCTGATTGTTTCCATTCTGATGGAAGTTTTACAATCAGATTTTAAAAAAATTATTCTATTATCTTAAAACCCCAACAATTATTTTTATTTACAAATCAGACTTTTCTTTTTAAGCTACATGCAAATTGCTTACCTGGATAATTGGAGTATGGGCCCAACTCCTTAACGTTGTTAACAGGTTTGTTCTGAAACATCAGGACCAGAGATTATTTATAAATTATTTAGCTTGTACACCAGTTTTAAAAATACTCCAGTTAATGAAAATGTTTTTCATTTAGCACCAACTCTAGGCATTAGACATATTTTCTTTATCTGTTTGTGCTGAGAATTTTCACAGCTCTTAATTTTGCTTAAGGACAGCTTTAAAAAGCAAAGACCACTAAAAGAATACTACAGAAAGCATTTCATGAGCCAACAATCTTAGATTCACTGAAACAAGTGGTACACTACCAAATCAACTTCAACAGAGTTTATAAAACTCTGTAAAGGCCAAATCTGGTAATAAAATCACAAAGCAAAGCTATCTTCTTTACGTTCAGAAATAAACCAAAGCTGACACTTCTTTTGTACTCCAGCATCTCATTAGTAACATATGAAAAAAATCTTTTAGAGTGCTTTGCAAATAGGACTCAGGTTTACTTAATTATTGTATACTGTCAGTTGTGAATCAAAAATTTAAAAAATATTTTTCTTCCACAGAAGCTGTAAAACTTCAAATATTCCAGAGAAATGTTTCAAATTTAAAACAGAAAACATTTCACAATACCGGCAGAATATAGAGCATGTAATCAAAACTGTCTGTGAACACAGTGAAGAAGATAGGTCTTAGAACATCAAACAAGAAATCTGTCAGTGTCCCCTTCACACTTCTCTTCAGAGTAAGTCTGCAACACCACTTCTGCCAGTTTCTGCCACCTCCCCACTGCCAGGTTTTGCCACTTTTTTCTTCACAGTAATAAATCTAGAAGTCACACTAATAAATCTAAGAAAGCTGGTTAATTTTGCCACTATGCTTTTGCATGCTTTTAATGTCAGTAATCTAAAGCAGAAATTCTCAGGCTTGGGTATCAGCAGCAGAAGCAGAAAGCACTTGTGTAGTACTACTGTCAAGTTGTTGCAATTCAAGTAGTAATTATCTGTGTTAAGTGCTTATACAACTGAATAACCAACACTCTATCAGCTCCAAGGAGCTGCAATCACTGCACACCAGTGTGAGACGGTTTTCATACCTCAGGTGGGGAATCATCAATCTACAATTATGCAATTCCCATTTAAATTGCAAAACTGGATTTATGATTCCCATCCTTAAGCAGTCTTTGTTATACACAATATTTAATCTCCCAGACCCTTCAGGCCTCTGCTCTCCATATGTCCTTTATTCTTTGACTGGCTCTATTAATTCCAATTGCTTAATAATGTAAATAATAATGGTAAGACATACCATGGTCATTCTAAGAGACTGTGGAAAACCCTGGCACAACACCCCTTTATGCAGTTCTGTATTCATCTACCTGCTTGTTGGCTGTCCGCTGGGATGTCCCCCTCAAAATCCCCAGCCAATAGTGAAAAAGCTCTCAGACTTTCAAAGTTAAGAAGATACAAATAAAAGGGCAAAACATGTCTCCAAGATGGACAGGAATCTAAGCGTCTTTTCCATGCTATCAATGTTTTTTTTGACAGCTCAGGGAAAATGTATATGCAAGATGGCAGAATGAGCGAGATGACAAGGTTCTGCACGAACAGCACAGACCACCGATTCACACACAGAGATGTTTGCCTACTTCTGTAAGTAAAGACCTCTCTTGTATCTGCTTTAAGGAACAGCTTACCACAGCCACTGCAGGCCACAATGGGGTTTGCTCAGTTTTGAAGGCCCTTTGCTTTTCTCCTTCCTCCTAAAACCGAATCTTTTTCTCAGACCCGAGTATTTCACCTCAGTGCTCTCTCCAGGGGGCCCGGAGCGAAGGTCGCAACTTTCAGCAGTGCTGACCCAAACAAACTGCAACTGCTCGCTCCCGGCGATGGACCAGGGGGCAATCCCCACCTCACAGCGATGCTTCCCCGTTCCTGCGAGCCCCTAAACACCCCCCCACAAGTCAGGCTCCCTCTCCCGCCTTCCTCCCTCGACTGAGGAAGGGGATCCGGGCACAGCCGCTCACCGCCTCACCAAGGCGCCTCCCGCCACCACCGCGCAAAATGGCGGCAACTGAGCGGCCAAGGGCGGTCAGTGTTCCTCAGTCGGGCCCGCAGACCGAGCGGGGAGCGGCCATTTCCTCGCACCGCCCCAGGGCATGGCCGCCCCCCAGAGCTTGCGGGCTCTGCCTCTCTTGCGCCGCGGCGGGGCGTGCGGGCGGGCTGCCGCTGCACGAAATGGAGGACGCGGGCCCCCTCCCCGATGGCTGCCTTTCCTCGGAGGCGCGGCCAGGCCGTAACACTGACGGGTAGTTACTAAACCACCCGCACTCACAAACCTTGAAACCAGTGGGAGAGGAAGGGGCTAAATTCTCCATAAAACGGTAAAAAAGGAACGTGGAGGGACTCCCCTGGTGCCAAATTTAGAGCTTGCCCAAATGTGGATCCATTACTCCCTCTCTTGAAAAGTCCTTGCTATAAACTAGAAAAGGTGGCTGGTTCCTGTGCCACACGACTGTTATCAAAAGTATTCCTACAAGAATAAATAAATCTGCTGAAAATATTGATCCTTAAAATTAGAATTTTTTTAAAATTGCTGCTGAACTAGAGCAACAAAACTGCCCCAATTTGTATGAACTGAAATAATACAATGTAAAATTGTAAAATTTGTAAAATGTAGAAGTAGACTGCTGTTATTTTTTTTTCCAACAGAAATACTGCAATATATAATTCTGGACTTGCCATTAGAACATAGATTTTGAACTAGTAAATTTAAAATAAATTGCAGAACTGCCTCAAAGACTAAATTTTAAGCTGGTTCAAAGCTTCATGACATTCAACAAATACTATAGAGGCAGCTACTGTAAATATGTATTTCTTCATACATAAATAGATGAAAAGGAGACAAGATTTTCTCAAATATTGATTTTAACATAAATAATTTTTATTTCATCAACTTTTGTTTTTCTTTCTTGAAAATATTTATTAATTTTTAAATTTTCACTTCAAATGACATTGTAGGTTTATATAATGTAAGTGTATTCTCAGACTGTGCAAGCCCAGGTGAATTAAAAACATGCAATAAAGGTTATGCTCAGTTTTACAATTCTGTCTATATGAGGTCTTTCCTTTATTATTCTTACCTTAAAAAGACTCACATCAGAACTGTCTCAGATTACAGTGTTCCAAAATTTGCACCACATGTTTGGATGCTTTAATCTACCTCCCCATCTAATTACTGGGCAGACAGCCAAGGGAAAGCAGCACTTCATTCCTACTTCCAACATGACAGGATCTTGGCCAGCACAGAATAACAAAAGATTTTATGATAAAGAGTTTAGAATACAATCAGGATTGCTAATGAACCCATTGTCTGAAATTAAATTCTGAAGCCACCAATATTATTCAGTATTTTGAATAAAAGTGGGGAAATGTTTGTGCTTATAAGCATACAATAAGCATTCATTTTGTGCTTATAATAAATTTTGAAACCAGAAAGTATTTTTACTTCTTGCTATTAAAGAAGCCTTCTTTGATTCTGGCCTCAGGCAAGTTTCCATCTTAGTTCACAGCATCTGCTTTTAGCTGACCAGGCTTTAAAGTTTAAAGCCATAATACAAACAGTTTGTTTTTTAAAGCTATTTTTTCTTCTATTCCCTTCCCTAGGTGACATCTCCCTCAACACACACACAAATCACATAAAATATATAGCAAAGCAGTCTCTCAACTGCTCTGAGACAGTTTAATTTTTGATTTTCCCCAAGCCTAACATCTGATCTGCCATATGTTTTGAGTCTTTTCAGCTTATGGAGATCACATACTAAGTCATAAACCTACATGTTCTGGAGCAACGTAACTAGAAAATTATGAACACCAGACATTGGTCAGTGATCCATATGATAACAGAATAATACTCATACTTACTAAATACAGAGCTGTTAGAAGATTACATTTTCTCCAGAACTTACAAATTGAACAAATTGGCTACAAACAAATTTAATGCAAAAAAGTATCAAGACATAAGTAGGCTGACAACCATCAGCATTTTTCTCTCAGTTTCCTTTGCTTGACTTTATCAAAATTTCAGTGACATGACAAAACCATTGGACCCTAAAAAGTGCCCTACCTTGTAACAGAAGTCACTATGAAATATTGGAAGATTTTAAAATCACAGGCAACTCCTGAATTGTATTTTTACCACATGCTTGAGATAGTTACAATGATTAACTTGTTAAAGAAATTGTAAGATTCAAGAATTTTAAAAATATTTGCACCTGTAACCTTTTCCAGTCAAAACTGGGAAATAAAAATACAAGAAAACTACAGTTACCTAGATGAGGAAAAAGAAAATTTTTTCCCATTTTCTCCTGTTAGCCAACACCTTCGCAAAAACTTAAAGCAGGTGAATAACTTGATTCGTGGCAGCTGAAATTACTCATGTGCATAAGTGTTTGCAAGACTGGGTCTTAAGA